TCTCAACAACTGTCCATCTGAGCAACATGAAATTTGTTTTGTAATACGTTAATAATGTTGTCTTTCCAAAAATGCATTCATTTTTCTTACAAAAAATCGATGTCACAGGCACGTTAAGGTTTTATCTACAGCAAATTGGGGTTAGGACCCAACTGTGGGTCCTCAAACTCCAAATTTTGGGTTGTTAGAGGATTTCCAGAAATTAAATTAAGTTAAAAACTGACTGCTAAGAACGTTTCTGTTAGAGTTAGATATGGATTAAAAGCAATTTGTCTATTAGAAATATTTGAATACTTCAACCAAAAATACTTTGATTTATGAGTTTCTGCCACAGTTTTTTTTTTTTTTTTGTCATTTGGGTTTTTTTTATGAAATAGGTCTTAAATTTAATTTCACTTGGCATAAAAAAGTCTTAAAGTCTTAAATTTAACTTTCCTTAAACTGTAGAAACCTTGGATTAACATRACAGCAGAGTTCAGACCCTCCTTTTCTGGGTCTCAATGAATATTTAAATGGGTTTGCTGGCCTTTTCTGCACCAAGATACATACATACATACATACCCCTAAATGAACGTTTTTGACTGTTTTCTAAGGTGCAGTTTATGTTTGTAGCCGGGTTGGTTACCTTCAGGTTGTGGGGGTTTCACCACACCAGGAAGTTAGATTTTATGGGCTCTGTGCACCCCCAGTACCTCTGTTCACACAAAGAACAGAAACAAGGCTTCAGCCTTTTTTTTTTTCCTTGAAAATGCCTTCAGGAGACCTGTTTTATGTCAGGTGATGAATGTCGTCCATCTAACTCACCCGCTGATGGATGTGAAACCATGACGGAGGTTGTGCTGCTCATTATTGTAGACGTAGGTGTGGAAGTGCCTGGTCTCCTACCTTTAGTTCTCCCTGCTGGCTCGTATAAACACACTGACACACATGCATGTAAAAAGGTAACTCTTGTTTTCGTTCAGCGTGACTCTGCATGTGTTAAAAGCATGAAGGATAGGTGTTGTCAAATCTGTCTTTGGAAAAGCGTTCTAGCTCGACCGGGSTGGGTGTGATTCAGGGCTGAGTCAGTTCTCTGCTTAATACGTTTTTCYGAAACCTTGACCATGTTTTCGCTTCAAAGCGCAGCAAATTTCTAACTGTGCGCATCATCTAAACACGGACTGAGAAATAAGCTGTAAAACCTGTGGGATCCTTGAGAGATTCAGACGTTTGTCTGAGTTCCCTGCTGGTAGGGCTGCTGTTTCCTGAGCTAACTGATAGGAGGTCAGGAGAACACAGAGTGTTTACACTCATCAAGCTTTGATCAGCCAGCGAGGCCAGGAGGGAGTCATCACAAGACCTGAGCTCAGCAGCGGACCATGACTCTGTTGGTGGATGATTCTCATTTGCAGGAAGAAAAAACAAGTCATAAGAGTCAGAGGGTAATGAATGAAACAAACAGGGTTCATGCAGGGTCTTAAAAAGTCAATAATTTGAAAATCAAAAATTTAGGCCTAAAAAAATCTTAAAAACACCCAGATTTTCATCCAAAGTCTTAAATTTTATTTTGTCAAGTTGTAATTTTTTTTACTTTCAGTCACTCCTGAGAAGCGTTGGCTGCATAAACAGAGTAAAGCACCATCATTAGAGGTTGATGTGATCTGTCTTCTTGTAGGGCTAAGTTTGATACCGGTCTTTGTACGTGTTAAACTACAAATCCTGTGATAACTGRAGGCAAAAAAATGGCACACTTTAATTCCATGCTTTCGACCTCTTTGCTGCTACAACCCCCTGCATACGATGACTTGTTCACCCGCCCAACAAACAAAGAAGTTCAGTCATGTCCACTGCTTGTGGTTTAAACATGGGAAAGTGTGTTTTCAGTGAGACTTGGCTGWWATCAGTGATCTTTGCACTCGGTTTGAAGAGGTCCACAGCAGTCCATATGAAGGTCTCATGGTTATGATCGTTTCATTAAAATTATTTGATGTGTGCATTAAAATTWAAAGTTTCATAGCTAGGTTGATAGCAATAAAATGTTTCTATGTCAAATCTTTTGGGATTATTTCAATGTTTTTGTTAATGCGTCYGTTTGGTRTTAAKTYTCATTCCTAATGGTCTTAAAAGGTCTTAAATTTAACTTGCTGAAACATGCGTGAACCCTGAATAAAGGAATTTATTAAGGAAATTAGAAGTGCATGCATTAATTCTTTTTAATAAGAAGAAAAATGTGCCTTCACATTGCGTTTACGTTATCCTGATTCAAGTCAGCTACATTCACACTGCAGCCCCGACCGTCTAAACGTGACACATCCAGTCGTTTTCAAATCTGACCTSGGTCTTTTCAGTAAAATCAGATGCAGCCTTTTAGGTTTGATCGTGGAAGAAGGCGTCACAGTTTACAAAATTTACAGGATTGACAACTACAAATCGACTACTGATGTTTTTCAAACCAACCCCAGTCTGAACGCTCGTTTTGCATTTTATTCGACTTTTACGTCCATGAGGTGGGGGTCTACATATCGATCCGAGTACTTAGAATATTGATACCAACCTTGTGCACTTTAAATCTTAAAATGTCTTCATCTACAGAGCAGAAGTCAGGTTGCTTCATTTTATTTTTGTTCTTTTAAATTTCCGTGTCCTGMATGACTGAGAATCCACATCTGTAATAAATCATCTAATCGTATCTTTCCTCGTACTGTTTCACATTTTATCACACTTAATTTGTTTGTAAGCATTATCACCCACCTCGTTCTCGACTAGCTGAAATCAAGATTTTATCTGGAACTCTGTAAATCTGATTCAAGGTCGTGTTCTCAGTCCCGTCACTCTCTCACTGTGGAGCGAGTTTTCACACATCTTACTAGCAAACAAAGCAGCGCTGCAACGTACATACAAATGAGCCCATAATTGGTGTTTTTTTCCACCCAGTTTCCTTTTAATCTAATCTCACAAACAAGCCCCTCCGTGTTCAGGCATATGTGTCTCGTTTCTGTGTTCTTGGTGCACATTTTACACGTAAAGCATCTGGTAAGCAGACGCTGAACTCACCCCACTCCTGTCTTCTTCCTCTGTTGTCCCTTCACTATATTCTGTAGCCGTTAGCAGAGGTCCTGAAGTAAAAGAAAGAAAGAAAAAAAGCAAAGCATTGTTCTTTGTGTGTGCACAACTGCAGGAGACGGTGTGTGAGGCAGGAAGTAATTAGAGCTAATTATTCTGCTTTAATCATAAGGAAATAAAAACCCTTCATGGCTGCTGCCTTGTTACTGTGGTTGTATAATCAGTGTCTTCATATAAAAACTGTTCTTAGCGGTTTGTTGTTTAGTGAGACAAAGGCAAAGGAACATTTGTTTCCAGTCACCTTAAAATCTTTGTTTGAAACCTGATGGAGTTTGCTAAATAAAACATTTGCTTTTTAAAACCTTACTAGGTTTTTTTTACACCTAAAGGRATTGATATAACTGTAAAATTACTAGAATCAGAGTCATTCTGATCACGTTGTTCATTACATGAAAATCAATTTGYTAATATTATACTAATATTATAAGCTTG